TATCCTGGAGATTTGTGCTTTACTGTGCATATGGTAAAAATTTGCTCCCATTCTGTAGGTTCTTTCTTCACCTCACTGATTGCTTCCTTTGCTGAGAAGAACTTTTCAGCTTGAATACATCCCATTTATTGATTCTTGATTTTATTTCTTGCACTTTAGGAGTCTTGTTAAGGAGGCTGGGGCGTATTTCAATATGATGAAGATTTGGACCTACTTTTTCTTCTATTAGGTGCAGGATCTCTGGACTAATCCTTGATCCACTTTGAGTTGAGTTTTGTACATAGAAAGAGATAATAGCTAAATTTTATAAAAGAATTAAGTCATGGCACTTGCAGGTAAATGGAGAGTTGGAGAATATCATGCTAAGTGAAGTAAATCAATCCCAAAAATCTAGGGCTGAATGTTCTCTTTGATAACTGGATGCTAATCCATAATGAGGGTAGGAAGTGAGCATGGGAGGAATGGAAGAACTCTAGATAGGGTAGAGGGGAGGAACGGGAGGGAGGGGGGGTAGGAAAGATGATGGTATGAGATGGACATCATTACCCTAGGTACATGTATGAAGACATGAATGGTGTGACTCTACCTTGTGTATAACCAGAAGAAATGAAAATTGTTCTCCGTATGTGTACTATGAATTCAAATGAATTCTGATGTCATGTATAACAAATTAGAACAAATTAATTAATTATCTTGAAATAACAGAAATTCAGTTAATTGTCACCAGGCTACTGATAAGCAATAATAAACAGTCAAGGGAGTGCAACTGACAGATTTGTTATGTCTGAGTTTTAGTTAATCATGCAAAACACTGCAGTTTTCTTGTTAGTATTTTCATGAAAGGCTTTAGATATGTATTTAATTCAGCAATCTTTGGTTATGGTCTTAAAAAATGCCTTCATAAGATGATGGTATCAAATAGTGGAGCAAACAGATCTTTGCAGGATATTGCAAATATTTTGCAAAATCAGTATTGTAGTAGTGCATAGGAAGAAGTAAAAACAGAGTAGTAAACTCTTTACTCCATGCAGTCTGAGAGAAAAATAAACAAGCAACAATAATAGAACACTGGAAATGAAGATTTATGTGATAAGCACCTAAAATTTAGCAAAGATTAAATGCTACCAAAAGTGTCCTTTCCAGTTTGGGGTACTACAATGAAAGGGAAATGAAGAGAACTGAGAAAGGCTTTAGGGAATAATGATAAAGATTAAAATATAAAACAAAGCACAGAGACGAAAATATTAATATGACTTCAGTGGAAGAGAGAAGAGTAGAATGATATGTAACAATAATAAGGACAAAAACTTATTTTAACACAATTCTGGTGGCAATCTATTTTGATACAAACTTCTGAGAAAACAGTATGGCAACACCAATTAAATTTTTAAATAAAATCTTAAAATGTATTGACTAAAACCTAATAGTGACAAATCTAAGGATAAATCTGGGGATAGACATATATGTATATAATTAAGATTGACAAGTAACTATACCCTTCCCTAGCACACCCCTTATTTTGAATAAACATCTGCATATAACTGAAAACATTTGGCCTTTGGTTTGGGGGGATTGGCTTATTTCGCTTAGCATGATAATCTCCAGCTCCATCCATTTACAGCAAATGCCATAAATTCATTCTTCTTTAAGACTGAGTAATAGTCCCTGGTGTATATATATACCACAAATTCTTTACCCATTCATCCATTGAAGGACACATAGGTTGGTTCCATAGTTTAGCTATTGTGAGTTGAGCTGGATTAGATAGAGAAGAGGGAAAGGAGGAGAGGGATATGGAGGTTGGGAGGATAGTAAAATGAATCTGACACTATTACCCATTGTACATGCATGACTACACAAATCATGTGATTCTACATCATGTACAACCAGAAGAATGAGAAATTATATTTCATTTATGTATGATGTATCAAAATGCATTCTACTGTCATGTATAACTAATTAGAACAAATTTTTAAAAATCTAAAAATGAGTAAATAAATAAATTTCTAAAAGGCAGATATAAAAGTACTATGTAAAATAATTACCTAGTATTATCATTATTGATTTTATTTTTATTTTTATTTTTCATATAATTAGCAAGTATTAGTGTGTTAATAAAAACATATTGAAAGCATTTCTCAGATGTTAAAATATTCTTTGATATTTTTCTTAATTAGATTCTATCATATGCATTGCAATTGATCTAAGAAGTTGCCTACTAATAAATATTTAGTCTTCTTTCCTTAGTATAAATAAAGCTGCAGCAAACATTCTTATTAAAAAAATTGACAAAAAGCAAAATAATTATATGTATAAATGTTGTAATTTAACATACATACTTGTGTACATGCATTGCCTAAAGAAGTTATCCATAGAAAGCCAGTTTTTAATACCTTGCATTTTATAAAACCCTGAAATTTGTTTCTATCTTACTATAGCATAGTCAGAATAATTATAGTAAAATAATAGTTTTCTCAAAAGTGCCTGCCATGCCCTGTATGAGAAATATAAATGTGTCCCATTCTATTATTGTTTAAAGATAAACAAGAAAAATAAAAATAAATAGTAATCCCCAACTACTATTCAGTCAGGTACCTTGGCGAGAATACTGTTTTGGATATTACAAATTACAAATATGTTCTACTACTGTCAGGGAGTTGTCTAATTCATTTATCTGAAAACAAAAGATTAAAAATGTCATTCATAGGAATTAAGAGTAGTATAGAAACATGTTTATACAGACTAGTTGGTAATAGTGAATTATTTATCAAATTAGTTCTTTTACAATTTATTGAGCTGTAGTGTACAAGTATTCATGAAGTGGATAAGAGTAATTAATAACAATTACTATCTCCACTGAGCTTACAATTCTAGTAAAAAAAAGAAAAATGAAAAATCAAATAATTAAGATTCTACAAAGAATTATTTTAGCTAATAAAAGACAGGGATAAAAGATAAAAGAATGGGAATATAGTAAGTATGGGGGCATTAGTGAAGTGAGGAGATTTTGAGTAACATGGTCAGTAAAGGAACTGCAGAAGTGTTGTCTTTTAGGCTGAAAAATGTTACAGCTCAGAAGATAAGCATGTGCTAATACCTGAAGATAAGCATGTGCTAATACCTGAAGATAAGCATGTGCTAATACCTGAAGATAAGCATATGCTAAAGCCATGAGTACTGCCTCTGTGGCAAAGGAAGTGGGGAGAGAGATAGAAGAAGGGAAGAAGGGAGGTAGGGAGGTCAGAAAAAGGGAAGAAGGAAGGGAAAGTCAAAAAATGAAGGAGGGAAGAAAGATTCACAGATGTGATTAGAGATGGGATCTTATCTTGGGATTATCCTGAACTATTCAGTTGGGCCCTAGGTGCTAAATGCAATCATGTGTATTCTTAAAGGGTAGGCAGAGGAAATTTTTACTCATAAACAAGAGAAAGAAACATAACCACAGAGGAAGAGACTGGAGTAATACAGCCACAAGCCAAAGGATGCCAGTCATCACCAGAAGCTGGAAGAAGCTAAAATCTTCCAGAAGATCTCCACTAGAGCATCCAGAAGGAATGTAGTCCCATCCACACTGTGATTTTGGTCCAGTGTCACTGGTTTCAGACTTCTTTTCCTAGAACTGTAAGGAAATACATTTGTTGTGGTGGTGGTTCTTTGTTAAACCCCTAAGTTTGTGGTAATTTGTTGGATCAGCCGCTGAGAATTAATAAATGAAGATGTAATTCACGGACATCTTAGGTCAGAACAGGTTTGGGTGGGAAATATTAGGAGTTACCCTTGGAAGTTTGGAAAATCTACTACACATTCCAGTCAGAATATAAAGGAGATGATCAGGAGATCAGAGGAGAGCTCTGGAATGTCCAGATATAATTGGGATTATCAGCATGTAGATAGTAGGTAAGCCATTGGACAAGGTTACTTGGAAAAAAAAGAAAAAGTCAAATGACTGAGCACAGGACCCTTCTAATATTAGAGATTGGAGCTGTGAGAATGGAGTAATTATTATGTTAAGAGGAAAACCAGGCAATTGTGATACCCTAGAATTGAAGGAACAAAATATTTCAAGAAGGATTGTATGGTCAACCATATCAATATTCTATGGCCAGTTTAAGATGTGAAGTGTGGAATGATTTTGCTTTTAGTCATAAAATTACTGATAAACGTTTTGTGGTTCTGGAGATTGAACCTAAATGAACTTGACCACCAAGCTATATCCCTAGCCCTTTGTTTTTTGTTTGTTTGTTTGTTTTCGAGAAAAGGTCTCACTAAGTTGCCCAGCTGGCCTTGGACTTACTATCCACTTGCCTCATCCTCCCAAGTAACTGGGATTACAGATCTGTGCCACCATGCAAGGGTAACTGACATACTTTAAGAAGAGCTTCAGTGGAAGGATAGGAGCCGATATCCAATTGAACCAAGTTCAAGGAAAAAAAAATGGAAAGAAAATGAAAGCATAAATATGATCAACAAGTCTTAGTGATTTAAAGTTATGTGAATTTACTCTCTTTAGTAAATGTAATCTAATCTTTAATTGAAAATGAGGCTACAACAGTACTACACATGTTGATAACCATGAATGAATAAAATTAGTCATGCATATGTTTTGTTCATAATGCCTTAATAAAAGCAAGCTATAATACAAATTCATTATATATCAGTCATAGTGTTTTCTTCTTTTTCCCTAAGTAACACTATAAAATAGAATAGATATATAGTGAAATAACTTAAGGATATCACAGAATACATCATTAGCCTATCTTTCCAAGAATATTTGTGGATTTGTACCATAAATGTTTATATTTATCAATGTATTTATTATTTACATTTACAATTTATTCTGTTTTATGTCAGATGTGTAATTAAGATATATTTATATATACATGTATTAAGATATATGTCATATTTGTAACAAAGGTATATATACTTATATATATATATATATATATGTATATAAAATCAGAAAATTATGAATGCAATAAGAAAAATCATAATTACCTTACCATAGCATCCACACTGTACAGAACACTGTCTGTGAATGTGGTTGATTATTTGATAAACCTATATTGAATGAAAAACAACATTCAATCAGTGAAAGATAGTTCTATTTATCATTAAGTTTTTCTTATTATTATCTTGGATACCCATAACTATCAGATCCTCAGACTACCCACCTGAAAGTAGATGCAATTCTACTAATCTTACAAATAAGTATAAGATGCTAATAATGAGAAACCATTTCATTTTTAGAAAACTATTTTAAAATTGTATATTTTGAAACTATTTAAAATTGTATATATTTAAAATTGTATATTCTGAAAATAACAAAGGAATAACTTAGAAGATGCCCTGTCTAGGGTACCTTTATATAATATCCAAGGCTGTTATTATCCTGTTTCCTTCAATCCTCTTACATTTGTTTCTTTAACATGTTATTGAAATATTTAATAGCTTTTATACCTCTGCTGCCCCTAAAAACACTTACCCCATTAATTTTTCCTTTGTGAATTTATTTTATTTTATGTCATTTTAGTGTTGGGATTATAAAAGGATTTTCAAACAAATTTACATACCTAGAATACCATCCTATATTTGAGATTTCACAAACTTTAGACTTCTAATATATTACTGAGTTTCAAACTGTATATACTCACCTTTGCCAACTCATATTCTATGGATCTAGTTTTACCTACATGGATAAAAATCTCTGCTTTTGCCAGGTGAGATAGTGCACACTGGGCCAGCTATTCAGGAGGCTAAGACAGGAAGAACACAAATTCAAGGCCAGCCTTAGCAACTTAGTTCAATCCTGCATCAAAGTAAAAATAACAAGGGCCTGAGGATGTACCTCAGTGGTAAAGCACTTTATTAGCATCTAAAGCTCCTGGATTCATTCCTCAGAACCACAAAAAATAAAATTTGTCCAATTAGTTACTCATATTTTCTAGTGGCTCTTGTAACACAGTGACTACCTAAAGTAAAATGATAGTTATAAATACATAACATCCAGCATAATTTTGGCTCTTAATAAACATTTAATAAATATTTTTAGTAAACAAATACATTCTTAATGAATTTAATCCTTACAATGTATTTCTATGCTGAGAGCCACAGCTGAGTCGGAATGACCCCTGGCATTTTGCCAGAAGTAATGGTTGAGAAGCGAGCCATTAAAATGATGCTGGATTGAAACAGGCTGTGTATTCAATTGTATATAGAACCCTACTGTCCACTTCAGGCGCTCGCTACTTTGGAGTTCTTGCAGGGATTCCTGGGGAGTTCACATTGGTTGGTGAGGTTCTGGTGAAGGGAGTTCCATTTTGTGTGTGGTGTTCCTAAAAGGGCCACATGGGTGGAGTTCAGGGGAGTTTGGAAATAAAGTTTGTTCCTGCTTGAGTGGCTCATGATTTGTCGCCAACCATACTGTGGCAATTGGTGGCCCATGCAGGGAACGCCTGAGGGTAAGTGATAAGGTAAACTGGTCGCTCCTGAGGGCAGTGCGAGAGGATGGGTAACCATTTAAAGATTCTTCTTTCATTTTGTTTCACTTTTGTTTTAAGTTGTCAGTCCCTGGAGATGGGTGGGACAGAAGAAAAACTGCTCATATCTGAAGAAAAACTATTTGCGTCTGAGGAACAGATAGGGAGAAAGGACAGATCGACATTTCAGGAGGATATAAAGGCTGATATATTGAATTTTTGTTCCATTTATGTTTTATTTTGTCTCAGTATTCTTTTGCATTATCTTAGTGATGGGTATTTTCACCATGGAAATACGGAATTAAAAATTAGTAAAAACCAAACCGAAAGGTTGTTAAGTAAATTGCTAGAGGAAGGAGGCTTCTCAGTAAAATCAAGAACAGTTAGGGCATATGTTAGGACGATACAAAGGTGTAGCCCATGGTTCATTAAAGAGGGGTTATTAAATATATTACAATGGAACCATCATGGTGAAGATTTAAAAAGGATAGAAAAGGAAAGCCCAGGAACTCTGCCAGTTGGCACATTACTGTTATGGACGTTGGTACAATCTTGTTTGCTTAGTCAAGGAGAAGACATTTTAGATCAAGTAAAAGAGGAGGCCTTTCAAGATAGTCAGAAAGGGGAAGAAAGTTTAGAGTATAAAAAGCCATCAGAGGAGAAATTACAACAGGAGACTGCTACTAACACCTTTCTATCACCAAAGGGCGTAAGTGTCCAACCAACAGCTCCACCTATGGAAACAACATATGCTAGGGGGCCCCCAACCCCCGTAATTGATAGATGGGATCCTGAGACAGGACCTCAAAGATTAGCATGCCTGTACTTGAGCAGGCAGGAGGACAGCAAATTCACTGTGCTCTAAATTTCAAAACAGTGAAGCAGCTACAAGAGGCTGTAACAACTTATGGCCCTCAAGCACCCTTCACTGTAAGCATGGTTGAATCCATTACCAACTTGGACATGACAACAGAAGATTGGGCTAATATGTATAAAGCTGTGCTAAATGGAGGACAATACCTGTTATGGAAGGTTGCCAATGAGGAATTTTGCAAGGAGACAGCTAGGCGAAATGCAGCAGCTGGTTATCCTCAGAGAAATCTAGATATGTTGTTAGGAAAAGGACCTTATGAGGGTCAGCTGCAACAAATTGCATATGATCCTGCCATATACTCCCAAATTGCTGCAGATTAAGTTAGGGCATGGAAGTCTTTACAAGGACACAGAGATTTACAAGGTCAATTATCTAAGGTAATACAAGAAGGCTAATGAACCTTACGCTGAATGTGTAGATAGGCTTATTCAAACAGCTACCAGAGTTTTTGGGGATACAGAGCAAGTAATGCCATTAATTAAACAGCTAACCTATGAGCAAGCAAACAAGTGGTGCAAGGAGGTCATTAGACCATGGAAACATGAAGATTTAAACACATATATTAAATTATGTAGAGACATTAATGAACAAGGGCAAGTCTTGGCAGCTGCAGTACAACAGGCTTTAGATGCCAGGCCAAAAAAATGCTACAATTGTGAACAAACAGGACAGTTTAAAAGGAATTGCCCCATAGGAGGAGGGTTTAACAAAACTAGGTATCAAAGGGGTAGAATACTGGGTATTTGCCCATGATGCCGTAGAGGGAGACATTGGGCTAATGAATGCCATTCTCAAACCACCATAGAGGGTACTCCATTATCAAAAAATGGAAAAGGACCAAGTGTTTACACACGATATTGTGGAGAAAGGCATCAGGCTCCATTGCCAAAAAACGGACAGGGGGGCCCAATGCTCCAGGGCCCACAACCACAAATCTACGGGGCACTGGAGGTACCCAGAAACACCATGGAGGAACCCAGCAACACCATCAGGGTAGTGCCCAGGACACATTGGATCTCTCATCAGACAAACCAGAGGGAGCACAGGGCTGGACATCTGCGCCTCTGCCAGAGCATTACTAACTCCAGAGATGGGAGTTCAAATCATTCCCACAGGGGTAAAAAGACCTCTTCCCCAAGTAACAGTAGGATTATTATTGGGATGCAGTTCTTCTGCTCTTGCCACAGTCTGGCTGGGCACAATAACCGAGCCACCATACAGCCTAGTAGGTTCAAAACAGGAACTCCTTTATTCTCCGCACTCCTGCGAATGCCACACACGTAGCCATCTCTCAGGACAAACCACACACCAACTGGAAATCCCTCTCCTGGCACTTCCCCAACCAATGGGAACTCTCTGAGAATCCCCATGAGAACTCCAAAGTAGCTGGCCAAGGCAGACAGCAGGGTCTAATATACACAGCTTAATATAACCATTATCATCTCAATGGCTTGTTGGCATCACCTCTCAACCACTTCGTTCTGACAAAAATGCCATGAGTCATTCTGACTCGGCAATGGCTCTCAACATACCCTAAAAGGACTCATGAGAAGTCCTGGGGTAATTGATCCCGATTATGAAGGTGAAATAAAAATTATAGCCACTTCTCCAAGGGGTATATCAGTAATCTCACCAGGAGATAGAATAGCACAGTTATTAATAATACCCAGACTACATGATAAATTTTCCAGTAGTACTATAGAAAGAGGTTCCAGGGGATTAGACTCCACAGGTGTAGATTGGGCTAGGTTGTCTTTAAATTTGATTCTTGCCCAATGCGAAAACTAAATATTCAAGGACATAAATTTAATGGGCAACTGGACACAGGTGCAGACCTTAGCATCATCTCTCGTCAAGAATGGCCGAAACATTGGCCATTACAACAAGCCACTCAAAGGCTTCCAGGCCTAGGAGTAGTGACTAATCCCCATAGAAATGCAATGGTATTAGATTGGAAAGATCCTGAAGGATGTGAAGGAACTATACAGCCATATGTATTGGATCATTTTCCTATAAATTTATGGGGACGAGATGTCCTAGATCAATTAGGTTTGACATTAACAAATAACATCAATCCAAATTCACCCACTATTATGGCTAGACAGGTTTTAGGAAAGGAAAAAGATTAGGAAAACAAGAATAAGGTATAGCAGCACCAATACAAATAGATCAAGGAACAGACAGACATGGTTGGGTTTTCAGGAGGGGTCACTGAGGCAAATAAAAATTACTTGAAAATCAGAAAGACCAGTATGGATTCCTCAGTGGCCCCTTAATAAAGAAAAGATACAAGCAGCCCATGACCTGGTCAAACAACAATTATCGGAGGGACATATACAACCTTCCATATCTCCCCATAATACTCTCATTTTGTCATTAAAAAGAAATCTGGTAAATGGAGATTATTGCAAGATTTAAGAGCCATTAATAATGAGATGGTTATTATGGGACCTGCTCAATCGGGGATTCCTCAATTTTCTGGTATGTTTTAGTTATAGATATTAAAGATTGTTTTTTTAATTCCAATTCATCCTGAGAATAGTCCCCGTTTTGCATTTACTATCCCTGCACTGAATCATGAAAGTCCTGATCAGAGATATGAATAGAAAGTACTCCCTCAAGGGATGGCTAACAGCCCAACTATGTGTCAAATTTATGTTAACAAAGCAATCCAGCCACTTAGAAATCAAAATCCTGAACTACAAATA